CATACATTTGTTACTCTACAAGAGACTTAGGTACTGCCTTAATAAGGTATGTAACCAGGACATATGCTAATTCAACTAAAAATTTTAAATCTGAGTTACTTAAACTTCACGGCTGATGCAGAAAAATACACTTAAGTCAGAATGTTAGGTAATCCCCCAGAGGTCACTTTTCTGCAAGTGAATCATTTGCATTTATTTAGAGATTTAATCCCTGAATATCATTAGTTTTATAAATTGCATATGAGTTTCTATCAATAGTGAAAATAAAGGAGCACCTTAAAATAGTTTTCTCTTCTGAAAATGTACTCTGTTGTCTACTGTTCTACAAACAAATCAACCAACAGAATAACAAATTGCTCCCTCACCTGTGTTTTGTTTTAGCTATCGCTCCATTTCTCTGCTTTCTTTCCCAACAAAATTTCTCAAATGAACTATTTTTCCTGCTTGTATTTCTTTACTTCCTATTAGCTCCTTAACCACTTTCAATTCATCTTCCATTTCCACCACTCTGAAACTGTTCTTGTCAAATGCACTAGAACTTCCTTGCTCTGTTACCGTCTTGCTCAAACTCTCAGCAGACTAGTCCCTTCTCTCAGTTATACAATCCCTCCTCTTAGCTTTTCTGGTTTTCCTCTGCCTTATGGCCACTCCCTCTCAGTACGCTTTGCTGAGCTCTTTCCCTTTTCTGCTCACCTTCTTCGTGTCATAGTGCCCAAGTCTGACCCAAGTTCTCATCTTTTCACTAACTCTATTAGAAAATCTATCTCCCCATGCCCCTTGGCTTTAAATACCATCTACATGTCAATGACACCTGAAGTTATAGCTCTATCCCTGACCTCTCCATTAAGCTTCAAACCCATTTATCTAACTTTCTCTGTGACATCTTCACTTAGATTTCTAATGGGTATCATAAACCCAGCATGGCTAAAACACAAATCTTGATTTCTCTTCAAACCTGTTCCAGTATTACCTATGTCAGGAAGTCACATCAAGATCTACCCAGTTCCTTAGGCCACATATCAAGAAGTCATTCTTAGCTCTGTTCCTTTTTCTTTGCCTTCTCCCTCACTTAAACCATAAGTAAATTCTGTTAATTTCACTGTCAAATATATCTCATATTTGCATATTTCTGTTCACCTCCTCTGTTTCCATCCTAGTCCAAACCACCATCATTTTTGCAAAGATTGTTTCAACATTTCAACAGTCTACTAAATGTTCTCCTTTTTCTTCCCCCTTTGGCCTCCCCTCCTCTCTCTTTATCCACTTTCCACAGTGGAGCCAAGTAATGTTCTTAAAAAAGGTAAATCAAACCATGTCACTGGTCTATTTATAATTTTCCATCAGCTTCTCGTTATATTTATTAATAGAAATCCCCAATCCTACTCACCATGGCTTTTGTAAGGCTCTACATGACACCTCAAGGAAACATCTTACACCAACCTCTGTCTCATTCACTCTGCTCATCTCACTCCTATTCCTGGAAAATGCAAGGCTTTTCCCCTTTTAAAGCTTTTGTATTTGTTTTCTCTATGCCCAAAATGCTTTCTCCCCATATCTTAGCAAGACCTGTTCTTTCTTTTCATTTGAGTTTCAGCCTAAATATCATCTCAGAGAAGTTTTTCCCTGACTACTCAATGAAAGTATTCTTGGAGACTTCCCTGGTGGTGCAGTGGTTAAGAATCTGCCTGCCAGTGCAGGGGACACGGGTTCCATCCCTGGTCCGGGAAGATCCCACATGCTGCAGATCAACTAAGCCCATGTGCCACAGCTACTGAGCCTGTGCTCTAGAGCCTGCGATCCACAACTACTGAAGCCCGCACGCCTAGAGCCCGTGTTCCGCAACAAGATAAGTCACCATAGTGAGAAGTCCGCACACCACAACGAAGAGTAGCCCCTGCTCACCGCAACTAGAGAAAGCCTGCGCGCAGCAACGAAGACCCAATGCAGCCAAAACAAATTAAAAAAAATTTTTTTTAATAAAAAGAAAGTATTCTCTACTCTTCCTCCCTCACATCACTCTCTTTTATTTTACTCTGAACATTTATAAGATCTGGTTTACCTTGTTCATTTATTCACTAGAATATTAATTCCATGGGAGTAGATTTTTAAATTTTGTTCACTGCTGTATCTTCTGGACTTAGAACATGCCTGGTAAATAGTAGGTGCTCAGTAAATATTTGTGGAATGATTGAATTTGTTTATTCCTGTATTTTTATGTCTCTTTCCACACCGTTCTGATATAAGCTTCATGGTTGGAGGGACCTTGTCTTGTTCATTGTTGTGTACTCAATATCTAGGATAGTGTCAGGTTCATAGTCCCTCAATAAATATTTATTAAATAAACGAATGAATAAAACAGTATGACTAATATACCCAGTATCTGTGAAGTAAAGATGGTTCAGCATCACTTTTCTTGGCGTTTTAACGAAGAGGACTCTCTTTTAATGCTGAAGAAATTCTTTATTCTTATTAATTTATCACAAATGTATTAGGCTCAGAACAGCAAGTTGTGCCTGTCCCCCTCTCTGGGCAAGAGTCTTGCCCAGGGCAAGGAATGTGGATGCATATAAAGTGAACATAACCACAGGATGAGCAGTAGGTCTACTAGGTTATAAGCTCCTGGACACCAGAGTGTCTCAGACACATTTTATCCATGGAGCCTAGAAGTGTTTTCTACCTAGTTACTCACATATTTACTGAATTGAGATGTTAGAATGTTAAGGAAAAAGACAATCCTAAACCTGTCCAGAAGGTATAAAAAAGTCATGAAAGAGAATGATTCAAAATGGCATCACCTTTCTTAACAGCAACTCTGGATATAAAGAAATAGTGGAATGATACCTTCAGAATACTGAGGGAGGCACCATATGTGCTCTGTACCCTTCTTCTCATTAAAAAAGTCAATGAAAAGAGCTTTTCTTCTCAAATACTGGAAATACTGATGGAATTTCAACTTATAATTTTATATTCAGTCAAAATATCAATCAAGCATGAGGATAGAATAAAGATATTTTCAGACATGCAAAGAGTGACTGAAGAAAAATCCTATGCAGCCTTTACTATAGAGGTTTTAGTGAATGTGTTTTAGCAAAAAGAAGGACTAAACCAAGAAATGAAGATATGTGAGATTCGAGATGCAAGGTAACCAATAAGGTAAGCAATGCTAAAAAGTCCTAGAATAACATTTGTGCAGTAGGTCCAAAGAGCAATCAGTTCACACAGGGCAAAGGATAGAGATCAAGGGACAGTGACTCTCCGGAAAAAAAGAAAAAATTGATACTCTACTTGACGTGCTTGATGCAGTTGGGAGAAATTATTTAAAAATATTTAGGGCTTCCCTGGTGGCGCAGTGGTTGAGAGTCCGCCTGCCGATGCAGGGGACACGGGTTCGTGCCCCAGTCTGGGAAGATCCCACATGCCGCGGAGCGGCTGGGCCCGTGAGCCATGGCCGCTGAGCCTGTGCGTCTGGGGCCTGTGCTCCGCAACAGGAGAGGCCACAACAGTGAGAGGCCCGCGTACCGCAAAAAAAAAAAAAAATTTAAAAAAATCTGTTGAAGAACTCAGAAAAAAAATAGGAAATTGATATAGAACAAATGAAAAAAGGAGGCAATTATTAGCTAAAAACAAGTTGTACCAGAAAGGAAATGTAATCGTAGTACTCATTTTGGCTAGACAATGACACTATTTACATGGTCATAATCATATATGTCCTGACTATAGATTTAACCCCATATTGTGATATAACCATGTTAGGAAGGTGACAGTGGCGCTGTGTTACCATAAAAGGAAGTCAGTAGATAATGTCTAATATTGATAAATCAAGGGTAAAGCACATAATTTAGAAATTGTTAAAATGGACTTGGATTGAACATGGGAGTAGAACATGATATTGCAATTTTTTTTGGAGGGGGCAGATAGGGAATGGGAGAACAGACCTTTGTAATACCACTGACTTTTTAGATATGTGCTGGCAGTATTTGATTAAAAAAACTGATTTTAGAAGAAAAGGGCTTAGTTATAAGTTAATATGTGCAACTAATTTTATTGAGTAACAAGAACAATGATAACAGTAATACTTATGCTTATGTTAAGAATGCCAGTGGGGTGGGGAAAAATATGCAAGGAATCCTTGGTGGTATAAAGGCGGAGAACCAACGACTGAGACCCACTGGGTTTGATATTTTGTTTCATGAATTTTCACAAATCCAGTTTCCTATTAGGACTTTCCATGTGAGAAACTTAGGATCTGTGTTTTTTTCCAAAGAAGTTATTGAGCTTCCCCAGGGCCACTTTACGCAGTCTTTCATCCCTGCACACAAACCAAACCATAAAGTTATCCTTCTACCAGTTTTTCTAAGGCCATTTGACATTTTTCCTAATATGATTTTAAAAGGCCAACGACTGCTGGGCATCATTAGAAAAGAATTTGGAAGCTTAAATTATTATTAGGTGCTTGTTATTTACATCCCATTCATTTCTCCAAAGATTTGAAGTATTAGCCCATCAGTGAGTATTAGTAAACTCATGGTGTATCTAAATCTACTACTAATAATATCTACCACTTACATAATACTGTCTATGTCCTGGGGACTATTTCAAGCACATTGCATGTGTTATCACATGTCATCCCACAAATAAGAGTTAGGTACTATGATTAACACTGTTTCCTTTTTTTTTTTTTTTTTAATCGTTGAGTAAAAACTGAGGCACATAGAAAGAGCAAATTGGTCAAGATCATGCAGTTAGTAAGAGGTAGAACCAGTATATTTATACCCTGGCAATTTAGCTCCAGAGTCTATATATTCTACTTCCTATGTAATAGACCACGTATTGTTCTAGTTCTTGTACTTGGTGATGGTGCTTTAGAGATTAGGGATGGTCTAGAGGGAGAAAATCTTAAATTTTAAAAACTTAAAAAACTTACATCATCTGTCTGATGAGAGAGACAGATGAATATGGAAAGACAAGAATGAGAAGAGGTAATGCCTTTCAGCTTTAGAGTTTGGGCACAGGCTTCAGATGCCTGGGGAGCACTGTGTCTCTACAGCACAAAAGTAGGTGGCAGAGTCTCGGGGCTGTGAAGCTGTGATGTGCAGGGAGCTGTGACGTTCTTTTCTGTTGATTGTGGCACTTACTCTTCCTTTCTTCTTCATCTCTAAGCTCAGTATAAACAAGGAGACAACATCTCTTCCAGGATTCTGTTGGAACCACTGTAAAGTGGTCATTTTTTCTGAGTAACTGCAGTTGATTGTGACAAAGTCTCCTTCCAGGGCACTCAGGTACCGGGGACTCTGCTCCACATCATTTTTGCCGCTTACCCCTGTTCTCAAAGACATTGGCAAACACAGAATATTACTATTAGTGCAGCATTTTTACAAATTTCTTTCTTTTACATGTTTCCCAGAGGGCAGTCCAGATCAGTCACATGGACTCCCTTATCTCCCCTCCTCAGAATTTTGAAAAAAATATCCATTTAGTCTCCCTGTTCCCATATCCAGAAACTCCCCAACTTACAGTGTAACCGAAGCCACAGAACAGCCAACAAAACTTGCTGGGTCTTCACCATTTTTACCGCAGATCTCTGTTAGAGGATTCGGAATATATGTTAGTTGGTCAAAGGAGTCTGTTATTATTATAAGTTCTCTACATTTACTTTAGAACTCAAACAGGATTCCCAGCCCATCAAAGGCAGAACAAATGCAAACCTCTGCACTATTTGTAAGGTTACCTGCACAGCGAACTGTCCATGGTCTTTTAAATAAAATGCCCACATTGCCACCTAGTGGCAACACACACAGTTGTTCATTATGTATCAATAGGTCAAATACTCTGATGAAAAAACGAAGACAAAACTGGAATCAAAGTTATCATCAGTGCTAGGAGCCCCGGAGTTGGGGTAAGATGGGGAATAGAAGTCCTGTGATTCCTTGGCTTCAGCCGGCTATGCTACATCAAGTGGAGTAAGTGACAACCTGTGCATTTTACATTGTATCTTTCTGAAAATCCAAGGACAGCTCTGTTCTGGTTTTTAAAGGGATTCCTTATAAATATATCTGGTTTCTTCATGTGACATCCCTGTTTCTTCCCATAATATTATGTCAGACTCCTTTCCTAGTCTGATCTTTCCTTTTTGGACTTGCTACAGTTTTTCTATGTCTCTTCAAATATGTTTCAAATGTTTATTCATCTGGTTTCTGGCTTATCTATGATTGTTATCTATTACTGTTTCAGTGGTCTTATCACACTGTTGAATTATTTTGAACTTGTAGTCATTTTCTACTTTTGGGACTCCTTTCCAGCCCATATCCCCTCCATTGGATGTGCCCCTTAAGAGAGGAATCTAGAATTATGTTTGTACCAAGTGACCTAGTTTCCCTGACTATAGCTTATTGTATCTGGGTAAATTAATTTGGAATAGGAATATAAAAATAGTAGTTAGACAACATTTGTCACTAGAGCTATAAAACCCTATGGGATTCCAGCCAGAGTCATCTCTTAGCAAAATGGAAAGCTGGGTAGGTTCAAACTCAGATTATTGTGGAGTAGATACTAGCAGGCTTACAGTGGAATCTGGTCTCCGAAGAGGAGAACTGATTATACTTTCAGAGAGGAGTAACTTTAGAAAGGATAGCAAATTGATGGTTTTCTTCCTCCTGTAAGGTCCAGCTGTATTTTTTGCAAATGGATTTTATGAAATTCACCTGTACCCTTTCAGACACTCTCCCTTTCCTTGAGCTAGTTTGAGTGGGTTGCACAACCAGATCATTTTCACAAAAAATACTGTAAGTCCAGGGTCCTTTTTTCTATATATCACAATTGATTTGCATTAAAATACATGCAGAAATATATAGTTATCAACATTAAATTTTATTTTGGCTGTTTCAGTCCATCTAATATCTAACACATTAGCTACCTATCTTAACATTGTGCCATTTGCACAGTTTATGGGCATATCTTACATGAATTCACATTAGATGACCATGAACAGGTCAGGATGAAGGATAAAATCATGTGATACAAGAGAGATAGTTCTCTACATGGAATCTTTACTCATGGCCATTCTTTCAGCCGAGGATCCATGGACTGTAGCATTACACAGAAGGGCAAAGTGAATATGGTTTGGAGCCAAATAGACTTGTTTGAGTCTTAGCCCTGCCACTTACTAGATTGGGTTTTGAGAAGTTAACACAACACTGCAGTCCTCCGTTTCCTGTAAAATGGGGATAACAATACCAAACTGTGGTTTTGTGGTGAGAATTACAGATAACGTTGGGAGTTAACAAAGTATCGTGGTTAAGAATTCAGGCCGTGGGGGAATCTACCTGTACTATACTGACTGCGTTCTTAGGCAATTTAGTTAATTTCTCTGCCTCAGTTTCCTTGGGGCTAATAATTGTACCTACTTTATGGGGCTGTAGTAAAGATTAAATAAATCAATGTATGTAATGCACTTAGAACAATACTTCATCCATATTAAGCCCTTGACAAATGTCAGCTATTACTATTATTGATAGTATAATAGGGCCTGTGATAAATACATCACACAAAAAATGATATGTGATGTTATTATTTTACTATTTTCCTAATGATATAATGAAAAACAAAATAGTAAATGTCTTGTAAACATTTGAGACAATTTTAGTCTACAGAAGTACCTTGAATTTAGCAGCTTTGTTTAAAAAAATATTTTCAGAGAACTCATTCCAGCTCATATTGATGGCTGCATTATTTTCTAAGGGCACACATGTCATCTGTTAATAATTTGCTCTAAAACTTTGTGGATATTAATCCACGTCTTCCATGTTTATGGGTTTAGGATTTCCTTCATTCCCCTTAATTTTTCAAAAAAATTTCCCCAGTAGCTCTCAAATCATGCCAGCAAATTCTTTTTGTAGTTTGGAAATTAATTTAAATGACCCAGAAGACTTGATTATATTGTAAGTGTCCAAGACCTCTCTTTGCATCTCTTCCCTTATCATAATTTTCCATTTTTTCTTTTCCAGTTTGAAAATTATTCTGCTTGATGGAGAGTAGAGAATGAACCAGGAGTTGAGACACTCTGTTTTTTCTCTGTTATCTGTCAATGTTATTCTATTTGCCTTAATATGTGATTCAAACTTCTCCCCTGCTCCACCCTCCTCTTTTCTCCAAACTGTGCTAAAATGCCCTTTATGCTGCACCTCATATTTTCTTTAAGCTTCATTTTTCACTTTTAATGGGTTTTCAATTTTGAATGCTTTCCTTAAAGACCCATGATATCTTTGCTATTCCCCTTTGTCCATGTGTCAGACAGCCGGTATTTTTATGATTTTTAGTTAGAATCTGAGTTAGTGTACTTCCCTGCACTGCTGTAGGTTTCATTAGATGACTTCTTCTTTAATATTATTACTGAAATTGTTTACAATGGATAGTAAGAATTTGATTTGTTTTTAGAGTTTCTCACTTCATTAAGTACAATTATATTTAAATAAAATTCACCAGTTTAACCATTTTAAAGCATACAATTCAGTAGTTTTCAGAACATTCACAATATTGTGCTAACACCACCGTCTAGTTCCAGTACATCTTATCATCCCCCAAAGAAATCCCAAATTATTAAGTAGTCACTCCCCATTCCTTCTTCCAAGCCCCTGGCAACCACTTATCTGCTTTCTGACTCTATGGATTTGCCTATTCTGGGAATTTTATATAAATAGAATATGCAGTATGGGCATTTGGTGTCTGGCTTCTTTCACTTAGCATAATGTTTCCAGGTTCATCCATGTTGTAATGAATCAGTATCTCATTCCTTTTTATGGTTGAATAATATTTAATGGATATACTACAGTTTGTTTATCCATTTGGGTTGTTTCCACTTCTTGGCTATTCTGAACAGTCATGTACAAGCTTTATGTATTTTGGGTAGACACGTGGGACTGGAATTCTAGGTCATATGATAAATCTAGGTTTAACATTTCGAGGTGCTGCAAAACTGCTTTCCAAAGTGGTGGCACTGTTTTACATTCCGACCAGCAGCTGTGAGGGCTCTAATTTCTCCACACCCTTGATAACACCTGTTATTTTAAAAAATTCTTTTATTTTTTATATTATTTATTTTTATATTATTTTATCGTTGCTCATTATTTTTATATTGTCGTCTTTATTTTTAAAATTATAGCAGTCTAGTGGGTGTGAAGTAGTATCTCATTGTAATTTTGATTTGCATTTGTTTAATGACTAATGATGACTACCTTTTCATGCTTATTAGCCATTCGCATATCTTCTTTGGAGAAATGTCTATTCAAATCCTTTGACTCATTGTTTAATCAGGTTATTTGTGTTTTTATTATTGAGTTGTAAGAGTTCTTTATATATTCTCGTTACCCGTCCCTTATCAGATATATGATATATATGATTTACAAATATTTTCTCCTATTTTGTAGGCTGTCTTTTCATTTTCTTGATAGTGTTTTTTGAAGCACAAATGATTTTACTTTCACTGAAGTTGACTTAATATTCTGTTTTATTGCTTGTGCTTTTCATGTCACATCTAAGAAATCCTTGCTCAAGATCACAAAAACTTACTCCTGGGCTTTCTTCAAGAGTTTCACAGTTTTAATTCTTACATTTAGGTCTCTGAGCCACTTCGAGTTAGTTTTGGTGTGTGGTGTGAGGTAGGAGTCCAAATTCAGTCTTCTGAATGTGGCTATCCAGTTGTCCCAGCACCATTTGTGTCTTGGCTCTGAAGCCACATTTTAAAAAGTGTAATTCTAAAGGTGCCATTTCTTAGCTTAAAGTCATTTTAAAGCATTCATTGTTTTTTGGATAAATACTGAAATTCCTGTAATGACTTATAAAACATTATCTGACCCTTAGTCACTCTATCTTCCTAGCTCTCTGAATTCTAGCTATCTTGCCTTTGTTCAGTTCTTGAAATACCCAACTTCTCTTTCCAAGGTTCTTCTGCATATTCCCCAGGACACTGTCCCCCAAATTCCAGGCTGGGTTTATCACTCTGTCGAACACTTTCACCATTACCTGCAAGTATCCTTCACAGCACTCATTACACTTATAATTAATTCATTACCTGATTAGTAATATATGTATTACATATAATATATATAATTCATTATATTTTTATAATGTTAAAATTATTTTTATAAACATACTGTTTATAATTTTTATAACAGTTTCATTGATAAGTGCAACTCGATAGGGTGTAATCATAAAGCACTTTCATTTTTCTCACGTCTGTCCATGTAAACCTGATATGAAGGCTCCTTTCTTCCAGCCCTCCTTGATACATGTGTTTGTACATACCATAATTTCTCCAGGAAGTCTTGTCATAGAAATGATCCCATTCTAGCAATTAAAATGTTCAGACTATATCTTTGTTAAAACACCAAGTTTCATCTTAAATCCAAGCATCAAGCATCTACCCCCGCTCCCTACCCTCCTAATTCTGGTCTGCTTCAGGTGGGAGCCCACAGTGAGTTGTGGCAGCCGGGTCTCTTCCTTGTCCAGTTCCCCTCCTAATGCTTCCTCTCTCCTACTCACTGAGTAGGAGAACTAATGCTTCTCTCCTGCTCACTGAGCAACTTCTGTCTCTTCCAGGCTTGCGATGGAGGAAGGAGAGGTAAGAGAGCAAAAAAGGTTTTACCTAAATGGCATCAGTGTAATATGGTACTGGGGTTTCTTCAAATTTAACTACCTATACTTTTTTTTTT